TTTTTTTTTTTTTTTTTTTTTTTTTTTTTTTTTTTTTTTTAGGCGGGTTGGTTTAAGCAATACGCTTTGGGCACAGAATGGGCAGGCTGTGCCGCTAAAACATTTCTTTTGCACAATGGGGCGTATTTCCACTTGGCGTTTTTTTATTTTTTTTTCGTTGTTACCCGCCTGGTGCGAGGTGTTTTAGAAAAAATGGATTTGCAGTTTTATAGGGGAGGTGGAGAATTCACCCAAGTTGGGTGCGGCACACATGGCGGTGGATAAAATGAAAGAGGAGAGGAGTCAGTTCCCCACCGCTGAACATGCCTACCCGAATTAACAAAAAAAAAAAAAATAAATAATAAAAAATAACAAATGCAAAGTAACTGTGTGGACGTTGCAATGAAGAAAGAATTATGTGTAGTCGGTCATTTGGACCGTCACGTGGAGAGGGCAATTGTTAAAAGAGGTGTACCCCTGGGGGGTGTTACCGGTGTGGCAAGGTTCACGTTTTGCTCGCTCAACTGAGGGGCCACTACACGGAGGTAACCGCGTTCGAATGAAAGGGGTAGTCTCCCTTCGTGTGTGCAGGCATAGAAAACAACAAGCGTCTCTTCCCTCATCACCACTCCCATGTCTTCATCTCTCACCCAGAGAATTGTAAGCCCCCCCCCCACCCCCCTCACACTCCTGTTGCCCGATTCACAATCTTCTGTTCTTCAAGTCCACCAGGGCTGCAATTGCGGTCATGAGAATTCCACAAAAGGAAATTTGAATCGATGGGGATGAGCACAGGTTTTCGAACACGAGTTTGTAGTTCCGGTTCTGCCTGCGGGGGGGGTGAACGTTTGTGTGGAGGAGAAGCATGATAATTGTGCGGCAGAAGGGGTAGAGCCATGTGTAACGCGGTGAGTGGTACATGTTGTGTAGAGGTGTTTATATGGGCACCCGATGGGGCAGGCACTTGTAACGCACTTACAGCTTATAACTGGAGGTGTAGTAGTTTTGGCCGGGCTGCAAAAAGGAAAAGCCATTCTCGCAGACGACCTTAAAAGGGTGGTAGCGATAACGACTCAGACACACCAAGTCATGCTTCTGCATGGTGAACTCCTTCTCGAGTTTCCGCTGGGTCCATTTTTTTTTCTTTTTATTTATTTCACACTCTATGGAGTCTTCCTCCACCGTTTTAATATAATCCCGGTATGCCTCCCTTTCTTCTTTTCTTCCTTTCACGCAAAGCGCGGGGTTCAGTTCAGCCTTGAGCAGGACCATCCTTTGGGGCTGCCGCCAACAGAGAGGGGGGCAGCACAGGAGAGCTATTATAACTTGCTGTTGTAGCCACCCCCCCCCACATACAGTGTGGGAACACGCTCTCACTCTCTCTTTCGAAGTCACCAGTGTATGGAGAGAGGGGGAGGGTGCAACAAAATTGTAAAAACTGGGCAAAGTGGTTTTTACGCCTCGGTAAAATTTTTGTAACTTGTGTCACGCCTTTTCGCGGACGGGAAACGCCCAACCTGCTAGGGGAAAAAAAAAAAAAAAAGGTTCACCAACTGGCCAGCAGGTTCACAGCGCAAGGTGGGAGAGAGAGAAAAAAAAGAATAATAATAAAAAAAAAGAAACTCTTCACCAAAGGGGCGTCAGAAAAAAAAAAAAAAAAGCAGTACAGCGTGGAAAAAAAAAAATAAATTATCCAACTTGGCCCCTTCAGAACAGCGGAACTGCCACAAGGTAGGCACAAGGAGTAGTACGTTTACGTGTGTGTAGTTACTCCCCTTAGTATGCGGCCTTGGTAGGAAGGCATATTTATTTACAACCCCAATGAGTATGAACCAGCGTGACACTGCTGTGTACACAAGTTGGTGATGCTGCTTTAACAGAGCGTGGCCTAGCACAAGCCCCCCCCCGGAGATGAAAAGGGTACAGAGGCCCATGGCCCAGTGCCGTCATTGGGCTAGGGGCTTTTCTAGGTATTCCGATAAGCAACCTATTAAGGAAAAGAAAAAGAGTCAATCCATTTTAAACACTATGCGGGGCATCCCCTTACGCAATATGCTGCCCAAATGGAACGGCATAACGATGGAACATGTTCGCATTAGAGAGAAGGAAATGGGGAAAATAATAAAAAAGACATTTGAAGAATTGCGTTTCAAATGTGAAGAGGTAAGGGTGAAGTGTCAGGACATGTTGTCATCCACGTGGAGAGACAAAAGAACCCAAAGTAGAAAAAAAGTTGCTGCACGAGACTTCCTCCAGCGGGTGTTCATGAAAAACATAGCATTTGATACACGACACGTAAAAGCGCTTCTACATAAAATTTCATTTGAAGGAAAAGTTTTTTTTCAACACGTAAAACACCTCAGTCGGGATGGAAACATACAATATTATAAGAATTTAATTCATTACCATTATAGTAGAGCACCTGTGACATATACGTTGATATCCCTGCACCTTTTCGTTTTCCTTTTGTGGAAGAAAGCAAAGCCTGGGGATACATACAACTATATTGCCATACCCAGAGGCTTTTACAATTTCAGTTCAAATGTGTATGCTCCCCCGGGGGTTAAGAATGCGGCGTCTAATCATTCCTTCCCCTTTGGTCTATTCAATTTTCTAACCCTTGAATTTATGTATAACCATTTTTGTTGCGGAGCCCAACAGCTGAGGGAGAAGAAACTCTACACACTCGTAACCAACCTCATCAGCCATAACACTGTGCAGTCCCTTCTCCTCAATACCATTTCTCTCTTTTACATTGGGAGGTCATTCGAAATGATTATTAATTCGAGGAATTTTTTTTTAACTTATTTTATTAGTGGGATCATATCGTCCTATATACAGATTTGCTACCACAAGAGTGACCGTTCTGCCTCTCCCTATGGAAATGTTTGTGTCTTGGGGGCCAGCGGTAGCATCAGCTCCATTCTCACAACGTACACTCTCATGTTTCCTAGCAGCAGCATTTACCTCTACGGGGTCCTGGCGCTTCCCCTGGTAAGGCCACATGCGCTAGCGAAGCGGTGCCGCGCCGCCTAATTGGATCCCGCTTCTCATGTGTTCGTTGGGCCACTCGGCCTTTTGCTGCCTTTAGCTCATTCTTCCTTTTACTTACCGCTTCTGCCCCCTCCTGCAGGCCCTGTTCACCTCCCTCTATTGCGCAAACGAGGTCTACTGCGTGTTGACAGACAAGAAGGACAACACAGGTTCGGTCTCTCCCATCTTGAGAGCGCGTGATGAATTTACATTGCATACATGTTCGTTCACCCTCATGCGACTTGTTTTCCCCCTCTCGACAGGCCACGTGGCACACCTCACAGGGATGTTCATGGGATTCCTCTACTACTACTTCTACGTCAAGGGGAGAGTGGCCATGTAACGGCGTGGCGGTGTAGCGTGTAGCGCGTCGGGGAGAAAGACACGCGTAGCAGACAGCCATTCGGTCTTTGCCCTCGCCAGGAACATGACCCCCTTCCACCCTCACACAACGTATGCCACTCACGTGGGGAGTTTTCCCCCCCATTTGACAGATCACTGTTGGTATCCCCAAACGGAGAAGACACAAAAGTGTATATGCCTTCGGAAGGGGCAGCTCCCCATAATTTTTTTTTTTTTTTTTTTTTTTTTCATAGGGGAGGTTGCTCCCTTCTGAGAATTTCCCCCCACTCCGTCTTATTAATGTAACGTTTATGTGGGTCCCCATTTTTTTTTGCACTTATTTTTTTTTTTTTTTTGTATGACCCGCAATGGGCACATGATAAATGGGGTGTGTAGCCTCATCAATGCGGTCCTAAAAAGGTCCGTCTGCAACAAAATTGTGCAAAAGGGGGGGAGTTTTAAAACTTTGGAGAAGCACCTCCGTTGGAAGCACCTCTTCCTTTATTCTATTTTGTTGTATTTTTTTTTTTGTTATTTTTTTTTTGTTATTTTTTTTTTTCCCTTTTGCATAACGCGCCAAAAAAAGAGGTTAAAAAAAAATAGTGAACTCGTTCGGTTCCCCGTCAACAGAAGAGATACCCCGTGACGATTTTTTTTTTTTTTTTTTCTTCTTATTCCCTCCCTTGTATGCAAATTGCAAAAATTGGGAAGCGAGAAGAAGAAGAAGAAAGAAGAAAAGTTGACCGCAGGCTTCCGTTAGAGGTAGTGGCCTACTGCGGTGGGGCACCTCTCGCTGTGCTCTCTCTCCTGCAGGGCGCGCCAACTAGTGTAGCAGCGGAGGGAGCAAGGTCAGGAAGGGAAAGCAGTGCCCTGGGGGCATCCATACAAAAAGGGGAACAAAATTACCACAGAGGTCATCACTCCGAAAGTCGCAACGTCGCTACAAAATTTCCCGTGGCTTCTCCTGTCCACATGCCATCGTTCCATGTGTCTCTTCCGTCCACACTCCACATCGATGCACTCATCAGTTGAAGATGAGCACGAAGAGGCTTTTTAATATATTACAAGCAGAGGAAGATGATGAGAAAAAAAAAAAAAAAAAGGTTAACACGACAAGGGGGGCAGAAGTATATGGATTGAAAAAGAACGAAGAAGCCGCACAAGTGACCAGCCAAGGGGAGGCAGAGTCACTGGGGGATGATGGGAAGGAGACAGACGAAGGACGCGACACACGTAGCGTCAAGACCAACCAGAACGACATAAGCGAGAAATGTGGTGATGGGTTGGAAGTGCAAGATAAAAATATCCCCGACAAAGGGAGACAAAATGAGAGCGTGTGCAAGGAGAAGGAAAAGAACACCACTGAACCTCCCCCTGTTCACTTAAGCAATACATTAAATGAGCATAGAAGTATCGGGGAGGAAGCCAGTGGTGATGAGAAGGGCATGGAATTAGCGGAAAAAAATTCACATGAGGCTGAGGCCCCGTTTGAGCCTCTGCAGGAAGAGGAAAAGGATAGCGGAGAAGTGAGCAAAGAAGTAAGCCGCGTGGAAGGACGAGATCGCTGTAACCGAGAGGACAACTCCAGAGCGACCCCAGGGGACGTCTTGCAAAATGGAAGTAGCAATCCTAACAGGAATGCTAATAGACGCACCGTGGAAAGGGATGCACCGAATGAAGCACCACAAGTAGGAGAAGCAAACAAGGGGAGAGAACAACATAGGGGAAGTAACTCAGGAGAGACCACGAACAAAACAGAGGAGAAGAGTGACACCGGACTGAGTGGAGGCGACGGTCAGCAGAAGCACGATATGGAATCGCACGATTGTGTTAACGGGGCGTATAACAGTGTGAATAGTGGTGGGGTTTTTCCGCGTAGCTGGATTAACTTCAATGGTTACTACGACATGTACGGTTGTGGCTACGCCGGTGGGCCGGGCATGCCCCCCGTGGGAAGCGTCCCCCCCGCCGCGACAATCCCACCGATGACGCCCCCAGGAATGCTTAACATGGTAAACGCGACGTATGAGACGTACGCAACCTGCACAACCTACGCGAACCATGCAAACTACAACCGCAGCTACCACTCCAATTACTATTACATGTGCGATGAATACGGGCGTGGGATGGAAACGGATGTGGGGGTGAAGCAGCCCCATGGGTTCTGCTCGCTACTGGAAAAAAGCATCCAGCTAATGAAGAAAAACGACCAGGTAAAAGAAATCCTGAAGCGCCCAGCCAAATTGCAAGTGACCCAAGAGGAGCTCAACAAAGTGGAATACTCACATGGAAATGACGAATACAATATCTGGTTCGGAAGGTACGTGCCGGACAAATTCGACAAAGGCAGAACTGCTAGCGGTGCACAACGCTTTGTAGCAAGGTTCAAATGCAAACCCTCCACCGACTCAGGATACACAAAGGCAGATAAAAATTTCACAAGCAAACAATTTTTTTGCATCTACTTTGCACGCGGATGTTGTGCGTATGGACACAACTGCCTCTACAGACATCGCATTCCAAACGAAAATGATGAGTTGCAGTTTGAACAAACCGTTGACATATTTGGACGCGAAAAGTTCAGTACCTTCAAAGAAGACATGAGTGGGGTGGGTAATTTTAACAGTGAGTGTAGAACACTCTTCATTGGAAGCATTCATATTGATAATGTCGAGCAAGTTCACCTAATAGAACAGATCTTATACGAGGAGTTCAGCAACTTTGGACATGTCGATTATGTAAGATTTGTGCCTTTTAAAAATATTGCCTTCGTTCAATATTCTTATAGAGTCAATGCGGAGTTTGCCAAGGTGGCCATGTCGGATCAGCCCATTGAGAATCACTCCACGGCGCTCACCATCAAATGGGCTTTCGAGTTGAAGAACACTCCGCATCATTCCTGTCAACATTACGCCAACCCCTATGTGTATAACAATAGCCCCTTTATGTCGTCCACGTGGAAACAGCACGTTTCGAGGGGGAGGCAGCGGGGTCGCAAGCAGTTAAGCTGCCCGCCCCAATATGGTCTTCCTCCCCAATTTGGTTCGCCTCCATAGTTTTGTCCACCGCACTCCCCCAATTCAATTTTCCAACCACGACATAGACACTCTTGGCAGAGGCGATAACTGCGCCCTTCCCCAACACAGCAAATAAGAAGAACAAAAAATCAAAAACGGGAGCAAAAGTTTGAACAGCAGCCTTAACCAAATGGACCACATGTTTGACATGCAGCATTGGTGATTTGGTTGAAATCAGGTGGGGGGAAGACGACACTTTTCTTCCTCGTCTGTCGAGACACACATTCGTGGGGGAAGTTATTCGTGTATTTATTCCTTTAAGCATCATTCTTTCATTTGTTTTAACCATTTGTCGGTGCCCCAAATTTGGGCGCCACAGACTTATCCCTCGCGTTCCGCCCCAAGGGAAAAAGAAGTTGTTTAGATATTTAACTTTTATATTTTATATTTTATATTTTTTTTGAGTTTCCCACTGCATATTTGTAAAGTCCTGCGTGAAAGTGTTACCCGTCCCACTTCTCATAAAGCGGCGCATCAAACTTTGCCATAAAAATATCGATGCACATTTTTCAAGCATCGAATGGCATAACTGGAAATAAGTCCAGACAGTTAGCTCTTTTAAATTTGCCTGAACGGTGATTTTTTTTTTTTTTTTTTTTTTGTGCTCTGTTCAGGCGATTATCTATCATCCTTTTTGCAATTTCATTTGGTGTAAAAACGGAATTCAACATGCACACATGGGGCGTGAATTAATCGCTGTTGTTTACGTACCAACCGGCACGTGTGAAATGCACACACACACACGGGGTGGGGGTGGGTTACTACAAATCGGCGTAAAGGCTAGTCAGCTAGCCATTTTCGCCACATAAAAAAAAAAAAAAAAAAAAAAAGGATACCGCTGTAACGGGTTAAAGGCCGCCTCCATCTGGGGGCTCAAAAATATTCAACGAATTAAACAAGTACTCTGAGGGGGCCTGCGGGTTCCCCTCTTTGAGGGTACGTTCTCTGTTCTGCATGTATATGTCCCTCAACTTTGGCAGGAGGCTTAACACCTGCATTTTCTCCTGTCCCATGTCTTCCTTTGTGTGACTCTCTACATTTTTTCCCTCGCAGCCACTTTCGTTCATGTGGTGGAAGAACTCCGAATCATCACTTGATGGATGAGACGATTCAGACGACGAAGATAAGGACAACTTGTCGGAAGAGCTATAGGAAGAAGATAAGTCCATGTAATAATCTGCTTTGTCATTGTAAAGTCCTGTTTTTTTTTCTTTCCGATTTAGAGACAGTGGAATAATGGGCATATGATCATGTACATATTTTTTTTTTAATTTCATAATTTCCTTGTACTTTTCTATATCGATATTTTCATTTAAAAATAAAACATTCACATTTTCATTCGATGAAGAGTTGTTTCCAATGTTGAGATAGTTCAGGTTGATTATGTTGTGCAGACTGTCCACAGGATTGTTACCATCCAAATTCTCCATCGAGTCATACTTTTCCCTCTGTTTCATACACAGCTGCTTGTAGTATAAGTATGAATTTTGCAGAACGTTAATATAATTGTGATTTTTTTTTTTAACAGCATCCTCATCATCCTCCTCTTCTTCTTCTTGAACCTCATATGGGGAGCTTTCAAAGAGGTCATTTAAATTGCTCGTTGTGTAAATTTCCTCGTACAAATTACTTAAGGCCAATGTGGTACAATGCTTTATGTCAATGTAATTCACAACAATACTTCCCCTCAGGGAAGAGAACTTCCTGCAATTCATTCCAATCGTTTTAACCATTTTTATAAAAAAATTAAATAGCAAATCCAGCACTACACAATCTACCCTTTTTATATTTTTACACAATAGTATGGAACATATTATTCGCAATATTTTTTCATTGTAGTAATCTTCTTTCGAGTTTGTAAATGGGTTTGCATGGTACTTTTCTATGTGCGTCTTTCCAGGGGGTCTTTCCCCTGTCTGTCCTGCGCTGTTGTCTTTCTTCATTTGGATTGGCTCAACACAGGGGGTGAAAAGGGGTAATGATGTGATATAATTGGTCTTCTTTTGCCACCACAGGGGTGGGATAAACAACTCCCTCGGTTCAGCTCTCTTCTCCGCTTCTGCTCGAGGCGCGCGACAACGGCTAAAACTATACTGCTTAGCTAGAGCGCAGTGTGCGGCTTACCCACTTGTACTCTAACGGAGAGCCTTCCCCCATTTGACAATAAATGCGCGCACACGTGGGGCATCCCCTTCGGCTAATCTAACACCATTGCCACAGCCGCAGGGTGGTGGCAACCGTGTGGGGAAAACACGACACAGGGAAGCAAAACGGATGCACAGCGGAAAAGAACGTTACTTAAAAAAGGCACTGTGATATTAGTTCATTGGGGTGGGGGGAGCATACTTCTGTTTAGTTGTGCCTGTGCCGCAATTTGGGGTGGTATAAAACGTGGTGCTAAATTGCCCCCTGCTCTGTTTAGCTCAATTCGGGTTCCTTTCCCAGAGCTCCTCCGTTACTGTGAAGTGCTACACTTGTAAGATGTAATGTTTTTTTTTTTTTTTTTTTTTCCCCCTCTTTCGCCTTCTGTGAGACTATATGCTAAAGTACTTGGCTGTGTCCCCTATTCCCTGGAAAAATGGGCATATCCCCATTGGGAGCAAAATGTTGAGGCAAATGCGTGGGTAACCTGCTCTTCTTCCATTTGCTTTTATGGACCAGCTGTCGCACAGTCGCGGTTGAATAAGTTCGGCTTGCGCCTCGCCGCTGCGTCACTTGGGTTATTTTTTACTTCTTATTTTTTGATGCTTTTTTTTTTTTTTTTTTTTTTTTTTTTTTTC